AAAACTTAGAAAGCTAGTTGACACATCCACAAACGAAATTGAAAAAAGAAATATTAAAGATTTTGTTATTGACAGTTAGATTATCAAAAAACTATTTTCTTCCACCGACACAAGTATCGCAGCCGATAACTCGGCCATTATGTCCACCAATCAAAAACCGCCACGTACAATGTTTCTCCTTGACAGCCGTGCAACTTCAGAAAGAAAAATCAATGTTCTGCTCCCCACGATCTCTTGCCTTTGGTCATCAGACGGGGTCCCGCCAAAAAATCGGCCTAATCTCAGGTCTTAGCCCAAGCCTAAACCCCATTTAGTTCTGTTTCGAACTCAATCAACCACTTCTCTCTCTCTCTCTCTCTCTCATTCATTCTTCGATTTCTATTTCTGAGCTCTCTCCAGCTGAAGCTCTTTCAATGGCGAGCGGGATCTGAAGAGAGAATGAGCTCTATATTCAAGGTAAAATCTTTACGCTACAATCTTTTTCGATTTCAATACTTTACTTTTGTAAGATGCTGAGATTTTAGGGGAAGGATCGCGATCCGATCTGTAAGCTACTGTAATGGCGGTGTTTTCTTGATTCCATCTTGTTTCTAAAGTTTTCGATGTTTTGTACATCGCATTAGTGTATCTAAATCTGGGAACCATCCTCGATGCCTATCATCGTTGGAGAATTCTGCAGCCAAATTAGGATTTTTGGTTGGGAGGTTTGGATTGTAGATGAGATCATTTTCAGACGAAGTTTTCGTTCTATATTATTTCTCTATGATTTTTGGCTAGGGTTTTGACATTTTATCAACCCTCTTGTTTGACCCTAGATATGTATAATATGTTTTTTTTGACCAAATCTTGAGCTCGGGATAAAAATCATTTGCAGTTTGGCAATGTGGGAAATTTTTGTTTCTTTTTTATTCTTGCTAGCTCGTTTCATCTTAATATGTACTTTGCAAGATCTCGTACCTTTTTTATTATGATCATACATGATTTCAAACATCTAGAAATAAGAGCTGAGATAGACTTACTATTGATAGCATCAAAATGTGGATGTGTTGATTCTTGAAAATTGTATCATTAGATGCCATACATTATTGAATTAACTATCAAGAAATGAAAATTCGAAGGTTATCTTTTGTTGAAATCAACATTTCGGAATTTTTCTGAAGCTGTTTAATTACCCTTCATATATCATTACAAGCGCGTCAAAGTCGTCGGCTTTTTTTGTTTCTAGGCAGTCCACGTGTATTACATCATGTCTGAAGATGCGGGATTTTCGATTTGGAAGCCCTTGTTTTTATTTAGACCAACTGATGAGAATAATAAAGACAATTCCCATGTTTGTTATTTGAATTTTAATTATGTCAGTTTTTAGTAGTCAATTTCGAATTTCAAATTTCGAATTTCAAATTTTGAATTTTGAATTTTAGTTTAGATTTGAATTTCAAATTAGGTTTAGATTTGGTAGTTATTTATTGTGAGGGATTTGATTGTGTGAGATTTTATTTTGTGAGATTTTCTTTTCTCTATTTAAGCACAATTGTAATCAGATTGAAGAATTAATGAATTGAAAATTGAAATGAAATTATGTTAGCTTATTTGGTGTGAAACCATGGGTGTGAAACCTTAAGAATTAATGAATTAAAAATTGAAATGAAATTGTGTTAGCTTATTTGGTGTGAAACCATGGGTGTGAAACCTTAAGCCTATATTGTTTCTTCTTTGTTTTCTCCTCAGCCATCCGATCTTCCCCTTGCCAAATCCAACCGTCAACTCCATCTCTCTATTTCCTCCAAATAAATAAAATAAACATTCAGCCGCCACCAACTCCTTCATCCTCCAGCAACGGAAATTCAAACCCAACTCCTCTTCTCTCTTGTCCACCACCAGCGCCATCGCTCCCTACAACAACTGCCTCCGACAATAGTCACCATCCCCTCCATCACCGAACACATCCTCTCCTACCTTTCCCCATCTTCGAGTAGCAACCAGACCCCTTTTCCTTCACCTCCTCCACTAGCCCCCGCTACCCTCCTCCTTCCTCGATCAACCGCCTCTCTTCCATAAGTCGCCGCCCTCCAACCACTCCCCTTTCCCACAACCACCGACTCCAAACTCCTCTCCCCGGCTCTCTTCTCCTCCGCCCAGCAGCGTCGCCCCCTCTGTTCTTTCCCTCACTTCCGAACAACAAACCCACGCCCGACTCCTCTTCTTTATTCTCCCCACCGACTACTAGTCCACCGCCTCCTCCCCTACTCTTGCGATAAAGCACCTCTGCTCTTTTCCTCCCAGCCTGCAGCCGTGTCTCCCTCAGCAACAGCGCCTCCCTGCTCCCTGTCAACAACGCCTCCACCCTTTGTTTCCCATCCTCAGGCGACTCCACCACATCATCTCTTTCGACGAGCAACCCCGACGGGCAGCCCCACCAACGCATCGTCGTCGTTCAGTCGATGCCGTCGCCTACCTCGTTAGTTAATTGCATGAGTATATCACCTCTGAACTCTTATCTTATATTCACTGCTTAGATTATAATTGCGAATTGAGAGTAGCTGAACATGTGACTGTTGAATTTTGATATTGATTATAGAGCTTGCGCAATGATAATGAATATTGCGATTATATTGTTTGAGATTGGAACTGTTCATGATTGTTAATGCAAATCTTGTTTAAATCCATCTATCATATTAATTATTTTTAAATTAATTTCCCGTCGAAGATCATGAATTTTGGCGAAACGATGTTTTGTTCGATTTAGATCGTTGATTCTGATAGACCTCCTGTCCAGTTCCGCATTATTTTTGGTATCAGAGCATGGTTCTATGTTAGGAAAAGTTTTTATTTTATTTTTATTTTAGTTGAGTCTTTTATTTGATATTAAAAAAATCTCATTCATCTCATTTAGCTGTCAATGCATCCCACTCATCCAAGTTAATTGGTAGTGCATGCCTAATCGCACAGGTCTACCCTAGGAGAGTAAAGTGAATCAACTAGTGAGTCCAGCATGTATCCCGAACTCCTTAAGAAATTCGATGAACTAAAAATACAACTAGGTGTTGTAGCTCAGGCCTTCCAAGATGCAACCAACGAGACGCGCATTAGTCTAGGAAAAGCGCCTGTTACAACTCTGTATCCGCAAGATCAAGGTCAGCACTCCCGTGCCACTACCTCTAGTCAACCTCCAAGTCGACCTAACCTTAGTTCTTCCTAGCCAAGAGTCGATGAAAAGAACATTTCTGTTTGAAGTTTGGATTTGTATGCTTTTATTTTGTTTCTCATAGGGTGTTTGGGTCACTTTTTTCTCATAAGGTGTTTGGGTTACTTTTTTTTTCTTCTTATGATGATGTAAGATGAGCTTTTTTCAGTCCCCTTCCTTTCCCTTAAAAAAAAAATCAGACTTGAAGAAAATTCTGCCTCATTTTGCAGGTGGAGTGATAACAAACAGTCATGCCTGTCATCAAACTCGAAAAACAGTATTACACAACTAGTAGTCTTGTTATAGGATATGCTCTGTGTTCTAGTTTGCTTGCCATAATCAACAAATATGCAATCACAAAGTTCAACTACCCGGGCCTCTTAACTGCACTTCAATACTTGACCTCAGCTCTGGGAGTTTGGATTCTCGGAAAATTAGGGTTTCTATATCATGACGCCTTCACCCTAGAAACAGCGAAGAAGTTCTTCCCTGCTGCAGTTGTCTTTTACCTCGCAATATTCACCAACACCAATCTCCTCCGTCATGCCAATGTCGACACTTTCATCGTGTTCAGATCACTGACTCCTCTTCTTGTTGCCATTGCTGACACAACATTCAGAAAACAACCATGCCCTTCGAAGCTCACTTTCCTATCTCTAGTGATAATATTGGGTGGTGCAGTTGGCTATGTTATGGATGATTCAGGCTTCACACTCACAGCATATTCATGGGCTTTTGCATATTTGATCACAATCACTACTGAGATGGTGTATATCAAGCACATGGTGACGAACCTAGGGCTCAACACTTGGGGTTTTGTGCTGTACAACAATCTGTTGTCCTTGATGTTGGCTCCTTTGTTTTGGTTTGTAACTGGAGAGTACTCTGATGTTTTTGCTGCTGTTGGATCGAGCTCAGGAGACTGGTTTGAGATGGATGCACTTGTTGCGGTGATGTTATCTTGTGTTTTTGGATTGTTTATCAGTTTCTTTGGATTTGCGGCAAGGAAAGCAATCTCTGCTACGGCATTTACAGTCACGGGCGTGGTTAATAAGTTTCTCACAGTTGCGATCAATGTGGCGATATGGGATAAGCATGCCAGCCCATTTGGACTGGTTTGCTTGCTTTTTACTCTTGCCGGTGGAGTTCTTTATCAGCAATCAGTTACTGTGCCTCCGAGTCAGCTTGACTCTGCAGCTTCTAAACAGGCAAACGGTGCGGATGGAGGTAGTGATTCTGACGACGAGAAGCAAGGAGTTGGCAAGGATTCGAGCGTATGAACTTTGTGACAGTTCTCATTCCCTTTTAAAGTCATAGGAGAAGTTGTACCGTAGAAGGCTTACTCATTGTTTCGGTTAGTATAGGTATTGCTCTTGTATGACAGGAATCTTGATTTGCTTTCCTTTTTTTTTCTTGATTAGCAGTTGTTCCTTTATGCAGACTACATACTATCGGTTAGTTGTAACATTTTTGCCTTTCGAGCGTGGAAAAGTTCTCGGATGGAAAGTACTTGCAAATTTGTGGCTGAGCAGTTTATATGCTATAGCTATCATGATTTAGTTGCATTTCAGCTGTAATTCGTTTTCTGTTTGTTTCATTATAATCTCAATGGATTTTTATAATTTTTGAAGAGTTCTACTCAGTGCGGTGCAGTTAATAACATTACAGTTTCTAGTTATTTCTCCTTGGAATTATCAGTTCTGAGCAAAAAAACAAGCAAAAGGGATGCAGAATTTTCAGTATAATCCCAACATCAGGTGGGCTACGGTATTCATAACTCCTCTGTGCACGTCTGATTTATGTGAATATCAAAAATTATTTGTCTATCCTTAGTACTGAGCATAGTTGTCGATATATTTAATTTACACTTATTACATCAGTACAAATCGATTTATATTAGGTGACTATAGGCTTGCGGGCCAGAGGAGAAAGCAATGACCGTGGTAATGACTCAAACAAATCATCAAACATCTCAATACTGATTTTTTAACTCAAAATTAGAATTGGGATAATTTGTGGGATGATTTTTTAACTTCAATACGGGTGTGTTTAACTACGGGGTGTTGGAACTACAAATGTAGTTGCAACATCATGGATTTGTTTGGATTGATATAGTTGGAACATTATGTTGTTCCTATCACATCTATGAGTGTTTGGTTGGATATAGTTGTAGCAAAAGAATGTTGATGCAACACCCAATGTGTTAAAAATGTGGGGTACTGCGTCCACACTTAAATTTTAGAGCGTGGCAGCAATATTTGAGTTGAAACTTATGAACCCAACAATTTGCCTTGCAACTACTTGTAGATAAAAATGTATTCGTCATTTCAAATGGAAATCAAGTTATATAGGGGTGGGTGTGGGTCGGGTCAGTTCAGGCCGGTGAACCAGCCCGCCGGGTTCAAGGCTGGGCCGAGTCCGACCCAGGCCCTCCCGGGT